GAAGAATAATGTCATTTTTCGATGTTTCTTTTTTTAAATGTCAATTGTGACAGGTTAAGGAAATCACGTGACCTATTTTGTAGACGCCATTTGACATCATTTCTTAAGCAAAATCTACTGCCAAAATTAAATTTCACATAAAACGATAAATAAAAAAGTTTCCCATTTGATGCGGACTTTATCGGTGACACTGTATATGAAGTTTTCCTGGAACGTTTCTTCGTATTCGAATGGCAGTGATCACTTCCCAATCTCTATAGATAGTAATCACAACTCCCAAACTCCCAATAATGTTCACGAAAAATGGAAAATCAAGGAAGCCACTATTGAACAGTGGAATTTGTTTCCTGATCTGGTTGATATGAATCTAACTTCATTAACGCCTCCTGGGATATCAGTTGAAAATATCGTAGAACAATTTTCTAACATTATTGTCGAAGCAGCAGAAACATCTATTGGAAAATCTTCCAAACTGAAAAAACACATTCCCGTCCCCTGGTGGAATAAGGAATGTGAAACCGCCATAAAGCTCAACAAAACCGCCCTCAACAAATTGAAAAGAAACCATTCTGAAGCAAATCTTATACATTTCAAACAAACCAGAGCACATATGAGATTCATCATCAAACACAGTAAAAAGATATCTTGGAAAGCGTATGTTGAAAAAATAAACTCTTCAACTCCATTAACTGAAATCTGGAAAAGCGTTAAGATAATAAAAGGTTTGAATTATAATACTGGAATAACATGCCTAAACGAAGATGGTAATATAATCTCTGGAAATGAGGAAATAGCAGAAACTCTCTCCAATTTTTTCCAAGAGCAAACGAGTGATGAAAACTATACACCTGAATTATACAAGAAAAAAACAGAAGAAGAAGATATAGGTATTGATATATACAAAGACAACCATTCCCCTTTGAATCTTCCTATTACACTCATAGAATTGCACTATGCATTGATGAAGGCATCTGACTCTAGTCCGGGTCCTGATAACATTCCATACGTCTTTCTACAAAAATTAAGTGAAAAAGGAATCAATCATCTCCTCAATATTCTAAATGAAATTTGTTTATCGCAACAGTTTCCAAGCAAATGGTCAGAAGCAATAATCATCCCGATACCTAAACCAAACAAAAACAAATCAGAATCAAAGTCATACAGACCCATATCATCAACGCAAGACTCGTCTATTTTCTAGAACAGAATGATCTGATCATTTCAGAGCAAAGTGGATTCCGAAAAAACCGCTCCACGTTAGATAATCTGATAAATTTAGAATCGGACATACATGAATCGTTTGCAAAAAAGCAAACATTGATGGCAGTTTTTTTTTATATCGAACGAGCCTTTGACAGAGTCTGGAGAAAACAAATAATAAAACAACTGCACTCATGGGGTGTTCAAGGTAACCTTCTAGTATTCATTAATAATTTCCTTTCGAAGAGACTGTTTAGAGTGAGAACTAATGGAGTATTATCGAATACCAAAATACAACAAAATGGAATACCACAAGGTTCATCTTTGAGCTCAACACTGTTTCTCGTTTCCATAAATGATATACTTAAGGAAATTCAATCACCAACTAAAGCCAATCNTATGGGTGGTATTACTGATTACCTACCTGTATGATGTACCTGATTAGTATAAGTAGCTTTAGTTTTGAGTAGTTGTTAGTTTTATCTTCCTCTTGAAGATGATCACTTGGTGATCGAAACACGTGTCGAAGTGTAAAAATAACGATTTGGTGTTGGGAAAAAACTCCAGTAATATTCATTACTACACCAAAGTTTCCAAACAGTACATCATAAGTACATACGGGTTGATGAAATTATTTTCCTTTGAGAAGTCCTTACTAGTTAACCAAACTTGGGTGTATACGTACTTCCATTTTAATTTTTTCCTAAGTGAAAGTGACAGATGAAAATATGGTTTATGAACCAGCAGTCAATGTGTGATCTAATGTTTCAGGCGCAGTTCCTTTCATTCATCATCATTTATGGAAGATTGCTGTTGAAACCGTCTTGCAAATATCCAAAATTAATCAGCTTTTTCTTCGTACCACAAAATTTTTTCATGCTACTGCTGTTCGCAGATTTTTATAGGAGAGCCTATTTTTCGAAAAAGAAGAACTGAACATCGAAATGAAATCCCTCACAAGTGAGTTATTCGTTCATTCACTCCGAACAAATAATTGAAGAATATTGATGTTGCAGATCTCCGATGGAAGAAAACTTCGTTTTAGAAGTCGATAGATGTAATTTCACTCAGCGTTGTGTTGTTGTATGTTGCCACAGTCATAAATGAATTACCATATTAATTCAACTTGCTCTGATCTGATATCTTTTGGACTCTCAGCTGATGCGGTGGTGTACAATAAAACATTTCCTAGTGACGAAAAGTTTTTGAAATACAAAAAATTTCATGACATTGCATTTTTAATTCTCTTATTCTGTTCGAGTTTAGCGTCTTTCGTAATTTGGCCCATCAAGGACTGGTGTTGCCATACGGCAACAGAAATGAACAGTTTTCTGTTGGTCAAATTTCTATAGATTTTTCAGTAAAAACATAGATGGCGGTCTTCACGCCAATAGTTTGTTGCAGTGTCAGTTGAAAGAACCGTGTGTTGTGTATGTCTGTCCACTCCAGTGTTATAAAAACACGATTTCGTTAGGGAATATCAAGAAGACTTCTCAAAAATGGATATCGAGTTTACGTAAGTATAAATACAAAGAGATTGTTACAGTTTTCGAAAATAAATTCATTACGATAGCTTTAGGAATATATTATCAACGTAACGGCGACAGAAATTACGAGAGTTTGCAGAATTTTTCGGAATCGTGAAGCTTTAGAACTCGATGTTGCCATGTGGCAACACGAGTCATTTCGGTAGACTACTTTTTTACATTTTACTTTTTTTTTTCTAGCGATGGGCTAACTCTCGAAGAAGCTCTTCTAATTCCGTATAATGATGATTTATAGATGTCGACCAAATTTATGTTGAGCCTCCGAATGAGGGTGCTCATTGCCTTCATCCTCCATCCTCCCGGTGGGAAGGATGAAGGCGGACTCGTTGATAATTCATCTCGGAATCAGTTGAATGCTCCAGTTCAACTTGTTTTACATGGTGAAGATGATGAATTGGTTGAACCAGAAACGGAACATGTAGAAAAAGTTACTCATAAGGACATTGAATGGATCAAAGGCGATGTGGTAGAAAGTTCAAAAAATTATTGTCGTTCAGATTATGAATTTTTTGAAACTTTAACCCTAACAGAAATGTTCGAGTTATTCATNTTGTCATGCAATGTTGAATACCATACTCGAATGTAGTTTTTTTAATCAATAAAAATATTTTTTTATGAAACATAGCAGTGTAAGTTACTCGCGTTGCCAACACTGGCAACACTAATTTTTGAAGAGAGTCAGAAAAATGTCACTATATTCTTTGGGTAAATCTATTTGTTTCGTTCAGAAAATAGAATTTGGAAATATACTTTTGCAAATTTCTAAAATAAATTAATTCCGTCCTCAAAGGGTTAAGATATGTGATACCAGAGACATTTTTTTTTGAAATGATAACTTCTTATGGGAGGGTAAATCACTTCGTTACTTAACGCGTAACGGCGCCAGTTTGTCTGACTTCTCTTTCTCTCACGCATACGCAGCGAAAGGCAGGCTCCTCCTCTCTCGTTGATCAGACGATCAATGTTAAGTGTGCGTTAGACATGTTCTGTTGACAGCATTATAAAAATCTAACCAGCAAGCACGTAATATTCTTCTATTGTGTAAAACGTGGCTTTAAAATAATGATACTAATTTTGTGTATGCACATCATGTATGTATTTGTATCTGTAGAGTAGTGAGGGGGAGTGTAGGCCCACATGTGACCCATTGTACATCCTCCCAAGGAGTTGTTCTACTGGTCATCGCTCATCCTTTCTAGGAAAGTGGACAGGTCACTAGGAGACATCTCCTTTATATCGGCAGGTGTAGGTCATCGCCAGATATTTTTCTGGCAAAATTGCTTCCTTTGATTCTATCCCATCTCTTCAGGGATTGAGCATGGGTTTGACGTTTGGCTAGTTTCGCAATTGTCGAAGTCATTGCCTACCAAGGCTTTGGCTAAATCTTGTCTACTGTCAGTGTAGATTGTTATGTTTTTGCCAGAAATTCATTTCCTGGTAATTTCTTTTGTAGCGATCAATATACCAACCAGATCTGTTCGAACCACGCTGGTATTTTTTTCCATTCCACACTTAATCTTTAGACTTAGTCATCTGGAGTATACTCCACATCCTGAGCCTTATTTGATTCTTGAGCCGTCTGTATAGATACTTATTATAGCAGGGGAGCCCACGATGTAAAATGGGGATTTACTCGAGCGTCATTGAGACATATTAGGTTGCAAAGCTTAGATGATGAAGGAATATATTATC